GAAAATAACATTTTTTTTTTTTTTTTTTTTGCATAATAATAAACTAATAAATAGATGACAGGTTAGCAAAAAAAAACTGCCGACAATATATATCGAAATACGTCACTATTCCAATTTAATTCATTGGTATTTTATTATTTTATTTTATAACATTTGTAAAAAGAAAATTCAACAAAACAAGGCCATATAGCCGCCCGACCAATATTTCTGTAAAAATAAAAATAAATAAATAAATACAAATTTCTGAAAAATCTAGCAGCCAACGGACGGCTGCCAGCATTTTATTTAAATATATAAACCTATTATTTAGAGTTGCCATTTTAGATAGTATTGACTTTTCATGGAACTTTATAGTTTTATTATAATTACAATAAAATATATAGATTTACTTATTATTATTTTAAGAAGTCAATTGCGTGAGAAATTATATTATCGATATTCACATATTTATTAAGTATATTTAAATCGGTAAATTTAAGTTTTTATGTGTAAATCAATAACCTTTCAAGTAAAGTGGATCATTATTATACAAATACATAGTTTATTGTTTACATGTGATGGCCGTAGAAGTGCCAGTTGCATTTTTAAAACCATAAATTTGAACAATAATCCATATATAATATTCCAAATGGAATAAAGGCTATAAGAAGTATAGTTTATTGGTTAATACATTATTTGAATAATATTGGTTCAAATGATTTGATATTAGTATATAGAATGTTTTTAATTTATGCACCATTTTTTTATTTCTCCTTTTACAATAAATTAAAATATTTTAATTTTTAAACAAATATTTTAAAAATACATTTTTCGATGGCTCAATCATATAAATACAAATTCAAAATTTAAAAATGTTTAGTTTTAAATATTTTTATATTGAACTACTTTTTAGAGAATGCGATCACATTGCAGATCAAATTTCAAATTATGGTTCGAATATTTGACATGGGTGTTACCTAAAATATATAATTTGTGAATATTATTATTATATGTGTGTATATATATATTTCATTTGGGGCTCTAAAATTATAATTGTAGAATTTGAACCACTTTTTTAAGTAAAATTTCAAAAAGTAGCGAATATGTTGATATAAAAATGTTAATAATTATTTATTTCCTAACAAAAAAAGTTGACAATTATGAGGGCATAAAGGGAAGGAACCGTATTGTGATTGCGAAACATTTATGACGTTGCAATAAATATTAAATATTTATAAATTATATATAAGCTAATTTTCATAAAAATAAACAAAATTGAATATTTATGGAGATATTTTAACCATTTAATTTTGAAGCTATTAGTTACTTTTCAAGTCGCATAAACAAGGGAGTCAATTTTATCAGCGTTTAGCTGATGAGAGATGAAGTTGATCGTTGCTTGACGTTTAAATTTCTGGTCAGTTGAGGAAAAGCGTGTTCGTTTTTTCACTCATCCGCCAATTCCATCTCTGATCATTGGAAAGCCGGAGAAATTGCAGTTTCAGTGGATTCCATCTGCCCACCTCTTCATCTTTTCGGGTAATTTTCTTGTCTGATTTTTGTTTACTGTTTAATTTTTCCTCATGTTTTTTTTTTCTTCTGTTTCTGCTCAATTTCTCTGTTGTGAGTGCTTTAATTCGAGTGTTTAGAATCTTGTTCTTCAATTTCTCTGTTGTTTTGCTCGGTAATTGATGGATATTTGGGAACTGTCCCTTTGTTTGTGGACGATGACGAGACCGCGATGATATCTTCGATCCAGCTTCGTTTTGGTGAGGATTTGAGTTAGGAGTTTCAGATTTTTGGTTGCTGAAGAAGTTACCTATTGCAATCCTTCGTTTGTGTGAGAATTTTCTGCTTTACTTTCATTCTTGATTTTGGCGTGGGAATATGACTAGGATTCACGAAGTGCAATTTTAGTCAAACTAGGTTATTTATTACCAATCCATTGGCGGCTTGTGGAAGATTGAAAAGCTCCATAGGATCGTTGTGTTCAATCGAATTAGTGTTTTAATAACATGTAAGTCCGATGAATTTGGTGCAAGAAAATTGGATTGGTAGAGCTATTTGGATTTCAAATACCAAACTTAGGGAAATTTTCATTCCAGTTGCTGTTCTTCAGATTGCTGCATAAGAGCATGGAAGCTGTTGTCGGATGTCATTTGATCATATTCTTCTGACTTCTGAGTAGATTTTAATCTTTTGACACAGGTTTAGAAAGTGGATTCTGCGAACTTGAAGAGTTCATCCTTCCATAAACACCAGCTTCAACATGGATCCAAGTACCCTAATTCTTCTTATAACTTGGATTACTCATGATAGCATCTACTGTTTATTTTTTTCCTTTTTAAACAGGCATGATTATGTATATTGGATGCATTAGATGATCTATTTGTGGGATTGTAACATGATTCTTACTTAGTCATTTCTTTGATCTTGAAGATTCTGTTAGGTGTCTTGGACATTCATATATGCCTTTGCACATTGTTATACTCTCACTCCTTAGTTATACGTTTAGTTGAAGAATGTGGTCACTTTCAGAATCTTAAGCGTATTAATGTTACGAATTAGATGGAAAAACTACTTGAGATGTGAACATGTTTTCTTGATGTTACAGATGCAAAAATTGACCCGACTGTGCAACTGGTGAAATCGGTTTCTGATAGACATCTTGATCTTTTGAGGCCAACTGCCCGAATTTGTTCAATCTTCAAAGGTAAATCAGGAATAAAAAAAACTTTCAGACTGGGATTTTTTATGATATATATTATATATATTACCTTATATTAGCGACTTAGGAATTAAATTATTTTTCATCAAAAAGAAAAAAAAGTGTTGAACCATTTTTCATAACGCCTTTATATCATAATGGGCGCATTGCCATCATCGCTGACTGCTCTTCATTGACGATGGAATTTCTGGAATTGATAGGGCTTTCATTTTTTCCAGTTCCATCATGAGGGAAGGTTGAGCTGATACTTAATAGCATCATTAATTTTCGCTTTTATCACTTCTTTGACAGTCTATGATCTAGATGGTAGGGTTTATCAGTTTGATAGTTCATTTTCTTTGTGCTCATCTATTAATTACAGAAAACTCCGAGGATTTTCATGTTGTTTTCTAATGGAGATGTTGATTGGTAGAGTCTTTTGCTTTTATTTTCATTTTTGCTCAAAATGGTTAATAATGAAAGCCTTTTATATTCTTGTGTATACCTAGGGCAAGGAAAAGATGCTTCAGACCATATAAGGAGCAAGTACACACTTCTCAGAGATGTAGAGGATTCTCAAGTAGGGCTGTACGACAAGCCTCTTCCGTGTTTTGGCTGTGGCATAGGATGGTTTTCGTGAGTACTGCGAAACTTTGTCGTGTACAAACATTTCAGGGAAAGGATATTATTCATGGTTGCATCCAGTTTCGAGTTTCTTAATCTTCTTACCTTTGTTCTTTGTCTTCCCTTCAGCTTCCTCCTTGGGTTTTTGTTCCCAGTAATGTGGTACTATGCTACGATTCTGTACTTCTGGAATTCTCGTCGAGATCCAAGGGAACGAGCTGGATTAGCTGCGTCCTCCATTGCTGTAAGTGACTCCTTTTATCTCTCTGAGTCCCACCCCATATAAAGAAAATGAAAAGAGAAAAACACAAGCACAATTGTCATGGAATACCGAAGTTTCTTTCAATTTCTATGCATTTGGCCTTGTTTTATGAGTCTGGTGTGGTTTGAATATGATTGATCGAGTTTGTGAAGAAGAAGAATCAAAAAATGGTAATTGGTGCAGGCACTTGCATGTTCGGTCATCTTGTTAGTCGTCGTAGCTGTTCACTTATTATAGCCCCCCGGTCTCCATGATTGACACTGCATTCTTAAATCCCTGTCCCCATGGGCGTTGGGGGCTTCTGTGGATGCAGCAGATAAAGACTAAACAGTTCTGTTGCTTGACAAAGACAAGGGTGATTTCTGTTACTGTAAATGTTTACAAATCATATTTCAAAAGAGAATTGTCGGCTTTTGTAATACTACACTAAGAATACGTAATACATGGCCTTTGAGTCCCTAAGATTTTAAAGCTAGCACTGATCTCAAAATTTCCATTAGTGTATGGCGTGTTTATTCACTAACAATGTTTAACAGAACGATAAATAAAGACACCTGCACAACCAAGGAGGAGACAATCCATATTAGTATCACTCAACAAAGCACACACTCAATCTGAACACAAAGAACAAGAGAGAGAAAAAAAATTCAAGGAGAAATATTGGCTAAAGGTTTTATTGATGACTTAGACACAATTAAGAAAAATACATTTTGAAAGCACTAACTAATGAGTACAATATAATACCTCTCCCAAATATCTATCAAATATCTACCAAGCATATCTCTACCAGATTTTTATTGTAAATATGCACAAGTCTCCATGTCCCAACCATCCAAACGTTGAACCCTTATTGCCCCTTTGGACCATATTTTTCCAGCCAGAAGCACCCAAAACTTGTGGCAAGAAACACCCAAAACTTCGTGGCAAGAAACACGACGCAGACGACCTACTGAAGCTGCAGCTGCAGCAATGTCCATGGTGTTTGGTCGGAACCAACTATAGTCAGTACTAACAGAAGAATAAAGTCAAAGTCAAGAATGGCCGATAGACACATTAAATTAATATATGTATAGCTTATGAAATAAAAATGTCAAATTACACGTAGCATAAGAAATAATATATCATATACGAGCATGTAAATCATGCCTATGCAGTATACAAAATCATTGTATAATTGGATTTCAAATAAAGAAGCGTTAAAACTATGATGGAAAACGGAGTCAGCTTAGAAAATAAATGCCTTTATGGAGCCGTGAACAGGCACTCCAAATTTCAACGCCGTTTGGACTTAGGTAGAAGACCAAGTGTGTAAGCATATTCACAATTCATAATTAATAACAATTAATTCTATTTTAACGATAGTTTTAAAAATATTTATGAAATATTATAATAATTATTGCAAAATTGAAAATTATATTTAAAAGTATCCCAAACGACAAGGGAAAAAAAGAGAAAAAAAAGTTTGCTTTGGATATCACGTCATGAATTCAATTTTACATTCCCGTTGTTACCCTCAATCTTCTTCCGCAATCTCGCCTTCAATTTTTTCTTTATTTTATTAATTTCTATTTTATTTTCTAGGTCAACAACTAAATTCTAATATATGTATATAAATATCTACTCTACCCATAGTTATTTTCGCAGTTGATTAATCTCTACGTGCCTAAAAAAAATTTAAAACTTGAGACGACATTCGAAAATGACGATAAACAACGAAACTTCGATCAAAGAAAAATACTAAAAAATTAGGTCTGAACTGAACGATGAAGGAGTCGCTTTCGACCGAGCGTGGATGATTAGATTTGCGAGAATTCTAATGTAACGACTGGGTCAGAGAAGGGGTCAATATGGGTCGTAATCAAACTAACCCCTTTATTTTATTTGATTTTTATTTTATTTTCAAATAAATATTTCTATACTTAAAAATAAATAAATAAATAAAAAGAACATGTAACGGAAATTGTGAAGGAAAAAAATAGTCCTCAAATTTCGCTGTCTACAAGTGGAGTGTCCACTTCTCCCAATGAAACTGATATCCTTCTTTCGGCATTTCTCTTCACTTTGCTTGCGATTCTGCAATAGGCGAGACGGGTTGATTCGCCTTAACTTATGCCTCCAAGACTCGCTTTTATTCCCTTAATAAGGCGTTGGTTAATGCGTTTTTGTTCCATAATATGCTTCCTCTCGCGGGTTCTTTCAGATATTCCCTCTCCAGTTTTGTCGTCTCTGTGTTTGTAGCAATAATCGGACTCTTTTTCAGGTATGTTTCGTTCATTTTATTGCTTCTTTTTCAACTCTGAATCGAGTTCTAAACACGCAAAATTCCTCTCAGGATTCAGGTCGATTATGGAACTGTTGAGTCTGTTCTTGCACTTGATGGCGACGAACGGGAAACAGTCGCGTCAATCGAAGCACAGGATGATCAAGAACTCTTAGGGGAAGAAGCTGAGATCGTTTCTGTTGTAGCTTCTAATTCGAGCAAATTTCAGGTGGAACACACGGCACAAATCCATGGATTCGTGGAAGAATCGGAAACTACCAACTGTTTTGTCGAAGAATTGTACTGTGATGCTTCGCCTTCTTCTTCAGGTAATCAAACTCCTGATGATGATTTTGAATGTTATAGCGGAAAGTATTTATGTGAATTCAGTTCCGAAACAGAAGAAGGTTTTGATGATGTGAAACTAGAATTATTTAGCACCGATGAGGCCTTGGAAAAGGAAGATGAACACGAGGATTTGAAATCTAATGAAGATGGCCCAATTTTTGATGAATTGCCCGAAGTTTCAACTCCGTTGGGAGATTGTTCCTTTCCTTTTTCAGATTCAGACTCGGAATCTCCCAGTTTTGATGAAGAGTTCATAGAAATAGAATTAGAATTAGAACCCCGTTTACATGTTTCAAATAATGCCCAAGTTTGTCCTGTAAATGATTGGAGCGAGGAGGAGAGTAAAGATTGTTTGAGGGAATCACTGGAAACAGAAAGGGACGAGAAGGGGATGGAATTTGAGGAGGAGGAGGAGGAAGAAGAAGAAGAAGAAGAAGAAGAAGAAGACGATGAATTCTCGCAAGAACACCAAGATTTGATAGCCCAACTCAAAATAGAGCTAAGAAACTCAAGAACAGGAGGACTTCCAACCGTACAAGAAGAAGAAGAGGCAGGCCCAGAATATATGAGTCCTACATCAGTCGAAGTTCTTAAACCTCTCAAAAATGGTGGAAATTTTGAACACAGAACATTCAAAGAGATCCAAAAGGTCTACAAAACTTATGCTCAAAAAATGCGAAAGCTTGACGTCTCCAATACCCAGACAAATTATGCAATTGGTAAGCTATATTAGGATTAATACCTTTTATATTATGAACTGGTGACAAATTGTAGGATTCATTTCAGTAACTATGTGATTTGGTGCAGATTTTATTAAGTTGAAAGATCCATTTAGTTCAATGGATGAAAAGAAATCTGGCCTTAAATCTGTTGTGTCCCACAAGTTAAGGGCAGAGAGAGCTGTTAAGGGCTATCCAAATTTGATGAGAGACTTAAAGAGGGACATGGAAATGGTGTATGTTGGACATCTTTGCCTCTCTTGGGAAGTTCTGCATTGGCAGCATAGGAAGGCCATTGAGCTCCAACAAAACGACACTCGAGGAACCTCTCGGTACACTCGTGTCGTTAATGAATTTCAATTCTTCTGCATCCTCATTCAAAGATTCGTCGAAGACGAGCTGTTTTGCGGCCCTCGAATCAATAACTACGTGAAAAACAGACTTCTTGTTCGTAGTCTCCTTCAAGTTCCAGCCATTAGAGGTTCTATTTGACTTAGCTTTCTAAGTACTTAAAAACACTTATCGTTGTTGAAAAACGCTTACCTTTCTCCCGTGCTTGCAGAGGATTGTGTAAATGACAAAAAGTTGAGAGGCAAAGAAGGTGAAAGTACCATCTCAACTGCAGCTCTAGTATCAATGATCGAAGAATCGATGTGGGTTTTTCGGGATTTTTTACGTGCTGATAAGGATGTCAGGAGTACGAAGATCAAGTGTGCTGAAGTAGAAGTTAATGCACAAGCTATGATGATGGAAATAAGAACTGAGCTGCGAAAGGTGCATTTTTCTTTTGTTTTGTTTAGTTTTGTCATTCAAAGTGATCACTTTGCAGATGGTGAAGTTGATATCAAATTTGGATGTAAATGCAGAAGGAGAGAAGGCTAAAGGAGATAGTGAGAGGTGGGCATTGTATAGTAAAGAAGTTGAAAAGGGTTAGTGAAGTAGAAGAAGGGAGATTGAAGAATGAATTGTTGATAGCGGAGGTTGAACTGAAATTGGTATCAAGAGTGGTGAGTATGTGCAGACTAACGGAGAGCCAATTGGTTTGGTGCCATAAAAAGCTACACCAAATCAATTTTGTGAATAGGAAGGTTATTATAGAACCTTCATTTTCCTTTTTCCCTTCTTGACGTCCTCTAAATCACAATAGTTTCTCCCTATATATGTACTGATCTTCTTCTTCATACATAGAATCAATACGAAGGGCTTGTTTGAAAATAATAATAACAAAAAAACGGACAGAATTTATGTCTGGAAGTATAACCGCTCAAGCTCACCTCTAGTCGATATTGTTTGCTTTAAGCTCGTTATGTATCGCCATCAACCATGACTTTAAAATACATCTATTAGGGAGAGGTTTTCACACCATTGATATTTCACATTGGTTGGAGAACGAAAAGAAAGGTGTGAAAACCTCTCTCTAGTAAATGCGTTTTAAAACCATGGGGTTGATACGGGCCAAAACGGACAATAATTGCTACTGGTGTGTTTGAGTCATTACAAATGGTATCAGAGTCAGACACATTACTAGGGTTATTATTGTATTTTTGTGATTGAGATTTGGAGTTCGAATTTGGCACTGGATGGTCGACATTCTAAATTAACTGAAATTCTTTTTACATGTTTGGTTATCAATCACATGTTTCTAAGAAAATTTATGGTAACTCAAGTTTTAAATCTTATATTATTTAGCCATCAAATAAAAGTTTACCGTGTTAATATGACCAATAACTTTCGATTATTTTAACCATACATTAATTATTATAGCCTCAATCTCATTTTCATTTATATATAATATCGATTAATATTTGTACATCTCCTTTACTCGAGTGTCACACATTTATGTGGTTGACATATAAGAAAATTGTATTTAAAATGGATAAAGTTGAATATGTTATAATGTAATATTAGTTATACGCATAATGTTTATGAATTAATTATTCCAAATATATTTTATTAGACTTCCTTAAAATTCTATTCACGGACAACGTTAATAATATTTTGTTATGAAGGGGCAATATTGGAATACAGATATGCGGTTGCGTAAATTTGGGCTCACTGTGGATGTTCATATTTACAGGTGGGCCTTCTCATTATTGGACCGACGACTGTTGGACCCGATAGTTGGGCTCCTTGGGCCGTATGTATAAGACCGAGGGTGCGTTTATTTGTGCTGAAATCTAAGAACAAATCACGTCCGTTCATTTTGGAAGACCTAGATCCAATACACTTGCATGCAGCTATATAAAGTTCAGTTTGCGGCCGCGCCATTTCTTCCATCGGAACGCGGGCAGCACAAGAGTCTTCCCTTCTCTTAACTCAGCGGCTTCGTTGCTGTCTTTCCAATTTCTCTTTGAAAATGGCGACCCAGATGAGTAAGAAGAGAAAGGTTAGTTCACGAAATTTCTTAATTTGTACTTCTTTCCTCACCATCTCTACAACGATTGATCCGTTCTGTTTTGTATTCATTGTGTTTTCTGTTCGATTTTGTTTCAGTTCGTGGCCGATGGAGTGTTTTTCGCTGAGCTAAACGAGGTTTTGACCAGGGAGTTGGCCGAGGATGGGTACTCCGGTGTCGAGGTTAGAGTCACTCCAATGCGCACTGAGATCATCATCCGAGCAACCCGCACCCAAAACGTTCTCGGTTAGTTTACCTTGGTTTTGAAATTCAATTGATTAAACAACCTGCTTTTTTCGCTCATTGGATTTAATGGCATATTAACATTCATTGATATTACCTTCATAATTTTCTTTGATTTTTTTTTTTGTTATTTAGGAGAAAAAGGTAGGAGGATTAGGGAACTCACCTCAGCTGTGCAGAAGCGGTTCAAGTTTCCAGAGAACAGTGTTGAGCTCTATGCCGAGAAAGTTAACAATAGAGGGCTTTGTGCTATTGCCCAAGCCGAGTCTCTCCGTTATAAGCTACTTGGTGGCCTTGCTGTGCGAAGGTACTTCTTCGTTTTCCTTTCCATAACCACTTAAAGAATTTTTATTATTGTTTTGTTGATTTGTCTTGGAAATGGAAATATGATTTATGATTAGGAAATAATGAAGATCACAGATTCCTTATTTTCTTGCACGCAGTTCTGATATATGGTTCTAACAATCTCATTTATGGGGTGACTTCGTTTTAGTTTCATAAAAGATGGGTTTTTCCTTGATGCTTTCTTATGTCATCTACAAAGCAGATTGGTGTTTTGGTACCAATTTTGTGTCGGAAGGTGACAATATAAATTGTACTCTTCCGTTTGATAATCATTGTGGAATCATTTTGTTTCACACTGTAACCTTAGGGAGGAGACATGCTTATGCCTCCATATTTTCCTCAAACTTTTTCCTCCATGTTTTCTGAATCTAGAATGGAAAATTCACAATACGTTGAATTAGTACAATCAATACAGTTCATTATATATTGGAATAATTTACACATGCCAACCTCATATTTTTGAAGAATGGGCAAATTAATAATTTTTTTTTAAAAAAATTATTATGTGGGATGTTGTTATTAAGACCCGCCACTTTTATTCACAGTGTTTAAACATTGATTTTGGGTCTATGATGCCATTTTATTATACATCTTTTGACTTGACTGTAAATAGTGACAGTTTCAGATCCACATATATTACAACTAGACAATGTGCGGCATGCTTATTTATGTTCTTTTTCCATCAGGGCATGCTATGGTGTTCTGAGATTCGTCATGGAAAGTGGAGCTAAGGGTTGCGAGGTTAGCTTGCAGCTCAATCCATTGATATCACTATGTGAAAAGTTCATGTAGGGATGTTTACATGTAATGCTTAACATGCAAACAGGTTATTGTTAGTGGAAAACTGAGGGCACAGCGTGCAAAGTCTATGAAGTTTAAAGATGGATATATGATATCTTCGGGTCAACCAGTGAGAGATTATATTGACTCAGCTGTTAGACACGTTCTTCTCAGACAGGTTAGCTTTGTAGTTATCATAAAAAACAGGTGCTTACATGTGGTATATCTGTCAGTTGGGTTGATGTTATTTCTTTTTGGGTCAGGGAGTTCTTGGTATCAAAGTTAAGATCATGCTTGATTGGGATCCTAAGGGCAAGCAAGGCCCTACCACCCCTCTTCCTGATGTTGTCGTAATCCATTCTCCCAAGGAGGAAGAAGAAATCGTCCATAGACCATCAGCAGCAGCAGCAGTTTTGACCACTGATATTGAGGTTCCAGTAGTAGTAGCAGCTTGAGAGGCTCTTNTTTTTTTTTTTTTTTTTTTTTTTTTTTTTTTTTTTTTTTTTTTTTTTTTTTTTTTTTTTTTTTTTTCTCTAGATATTTATTCATGGAATCAACCATCAACAATTTTGTATTTTCTGTCCCAAGATTTCGTTTGTCTCATTGATCTGTTGGTTTGTGCCTCCTGACTGCCCAACTTTCTTTTGGATAAAAATGCATATGGAGAAGTTTTTTATGATCCCTTAGCCTTTTTATATATTATTAGCTTTTGCTTCATAATCATATATTTTGAACTGAATCTCATCTTTTTGTTTCGTGTCGTCTAGGTTTCGTTTCAAGAATTTAGTAGAGTAATGAAAAATAATTGTTAAATCTTGATATGATAAATGACCCTTCGACTCCGAATGTGGTGTTTATTGATTGGATCTGAAATTGAATTTCATTTTGAATTACCGAAAGGAGGAATATACTTTATATATGGACTCATGAAAGTATGAGTGTTGACCATTCAATCACTATTATATTGAATGGATAATTGGTTTTTTTTATTTGAATCTTAAAATTTATATATGGATTCATGATAATTGGCTTTTTTTTTTTTTTTTTTTTTTTTTTTTTTTTTTTTTTTTTTTTTTATTNCCGGTATGAATTTAGTTCTCTCCGGTTCAACTAGGACCATAGGTCCTGAATTTCTACGCGAATCAAGATCGAGAAAAGGAAGTTTTCCAATCATTGACTCAAACCTCAAACCTATTGTCGAACCCCACTCAGCGTAATATGGAGGTACTTATGGCGGAACGGGCTGATCTGGTCTTTCACAATAAAGTGATAGATGGAACTGCCATTAAACGACTTATTAGCAGATTAATAGATCACTTCGGAATGGCATATACATCACACATCCTGGATCAAATAAAGACTCTGGGGTTCCAGCAGGCCACTGCTACATCCATTTCATTAGGAATTGATGATCTTTTAACAATCCCTTCTAAGGGATGGCTAGTCCAAGATGCTAAACAACAAAGTTTGATTTTGGAAAAATACCATCATTATGGAAATGTACACGCAGTAGAAAAATTACGTATTGTGTAGAAAAATTACACCTTTGAGATATGGTATGCTACAAGTGAATATTTGCGACAAGAAATGAATCATAATTTTAGGATGACTAACCCTTTTAATCCCGTCCATATAATGTCTTTTTCGGGAGCTTGAGGAAATGCATCTCAAGTACACCAATTAGTAGGTATGAGAGGATTAATGTTCGATCCACAAGGACAAATGATTGATTGGAAATGCATCTCAAGTACACCAATTACTAGGTATGAGAGGATTAATGTCCGATCCACGAGGACAAATGATTGATTTACCCATTCAAAGCAATTTACGTGAGGGGTTGTCCTTAACGGAATATATAATTTCTTGCTACGGAGCGCGTAAAGGAGTTGTGGATACTGCTGTACGAACATCGGATGCTGGATATCTTACACGCAGACTTGTTGATGAAGGGAGATATTGCATCAAGCTGTTCGCAAGGGCCAATTTGATCCTATTCCCAAGGATCCCAGATGAGGGAACCCTAAGAGAGCTGCCGACTCCAACTACCGTCCATGTACGATCCATACTAGATCTGGCCAACTGCCCATCCTACCTCCTCTACGCAAAAATTACCACCGTGATTGCACAGAAGTGTTAAGGAGGTTGGTAGAACCTCTAAAGCCCCGAGTGAAAAAGTGATTTCGTTATTGTGGAATAAGAAGCCTCCGTATTTTAATGTATGTATTTAATTTATTCTGAGCTATCGAAGCAATAACCAGAATATTTCTAGTGAAACATCTTTCACAATCCAGAGATAGTTCACTAACAAACCAAGGGATAAGTAATTCGACGCATTCACATCCAAATCATGAATGTTTGGAATCCATATTATGCAAGGAGACATTGCTTTTGCTAATTCGAATTGAAGGGTGATATAAAATCGGTCTATTTTCGG